GCGACACATGCAGTAAGCAAAAGCAACCATAAAGGGAAGAATAGGCTAAGATGCAGGTACAATAAGTTAACATAGAATGGAAATGCATGAAATAAAAGATGGTTTTTCAATAATGTAATAGTAAAGTTGAAGCCATGCTTAGAGGTGGTGAAAAGCTGAGCTATTCTCACTTATATGACTGTGCTTATCCTTTGTATTATTGGAAAATATGAAACAAAATAAAATAGAAACTGAAGAAAAAAAATAAAAGCATATCAACATATTAATAAGAAATTAGAAAGTCTTCCAATAAACATCATCAATCATCTTACTAAATGCTGAATTCAACAAAATTTATCATGAATTTAGTTTTTTCTTTAGTTTCTCTCATATACACATAAAATTTAATTTGAGCTATTTCTTAATATAGACATTTAAAGCTACAAATTTCTCACTAAGCACAGCTTTAGTTGCATCCCATACATTTTGGTCTGTGTATTTTCATTCATATTTGTCTCACCATATTTTCTAATACCGTTTTTTTGCTTTCTTCTTCAACCCATTGATTATTGAAGACTGCAATTAAGACCATGTATTTGTGAGTGTCTGAGTTTCTTTCATATTATTGATTTCTAATTTCATTTAATAGAATACATAATTTGGAGTTGCTGAGAGAACAATCTTTGTGCCATTTATATAATTTTACATTAATTTGTATTTGATATAATTTATGCTAAAGAATATTTCAAGTGAATTTAAGAAAATATTTATTTTTCTGTTGTTGACTGGAACATTCTATAGGTATGTGTGAAGTATAGCTGGTTTTATTATTGTTTAAGTGTTCTATCTTCCTCTTGATTTCTCCCTCATTATTTTAAGCATTAGTAAAAGTGAAATTTTGGAATATTTAATTATTACCTTTGAATTTCTATATGTAATATGCTCAAGAATACATTAGATATACAATATTTTATACATTGCTTTTTATAAAGAGAAATCTCTTCATTTATACTATTTTTAAAACTATAATATTTTCTTTACTGATACTTTTACTTTTTAATGTGTGTTTGAATTACCATCTGGAATTTTTTGCTCTCAATCTGAAGAAAACATTCTTTAATAAATACTCATGCAAATTTTGTTGGGCTTTTGTTGCCTGGGAATGCCTCTATTACACATACAGACACATGGAAGGGTAACTTTGTTAGATATATATCTTGGCTGACAATTATTATTTTGTTTCATTCAGGATTGTAATCATGTTATTTCACTTCCTTCTGGCCTCTACTTATTCTATAAGAATTTAGCTGTTGATCATACTAGTCACTTTGGAAGTGACTGACTTTACTCTTGCTTGCAAGATTTTTTTCATTGTGTTTGACTCTCAGGAATTTTACTATGATGTGTCTATTGTCTTGTATAAACATTTCTTCATTTGCTGCTTTTCTCCAGAAACATTTCCAGGAATTTTAAATCTGTTTTCTTTTATAATATTCATCATTTGCCCTGGGAAGCATATCTGTGTACTCCTCATGCTATCATACTGAAATGGAATTATCTGATGAGATATATTTTATAAGTAAAAAAGAATGTCTTAGAAGATTACTGAAATTAAGAATAGTGTGCAAAGGGGTTCAATCTCTATTACTAAGAAGAAAAAAAAGGAAAAATAAAATACTGTAGTATGTGTATACCATTTTATAGTCCTACCAAAAAAAAGCAATTATATTTTGTATATCAGCAGCAATGCACTGAAAATCTAATTTTCAAAGGTAGTTAATTTTAGGAAGGTTTACTATAGCAACAGAATATATGCATCATCCAATAATAAATTGAACAAGAATGTAAGAAATCTCTTTTAGCCAAAATAAAAAGCTTATTGATATATATTTAGGAAAATAGATAAACCTTGATCATATCTTTATACAGAAGACTATGGTCATAAAGTTATCGATGCTCTCTAAATTTGTTTCTATTTGATTACAATCTTTACCAGAGACCTTATAGGAATTTTCAAAGGATTTGATAATCAGTCTGACTCTATATTTATGAGAGAACAGCAAATAGACAAAAATAGCTCATACACTTTAAAGAAGACATGATTGGGGAAAGTGCCTTGAAAAATATCAAGATTTTTATAAAGTTCTAACTCATAAATGGATGCCAAATAATACATAGTTAGAAAACCAGACTATTGGAACTGAATAGATATTCCATGAAAGGATGAGAATGCAAAAAAACTGATTTGTGAGAGAGAGCATTAAGAATCAGTGGATAAAGGATAAGTTATTTCATAATTAACCTTGGGAAAATAAATTAGAAGTATGGGGAAAAAATCAATTTTATATAATGACTTAAATCAGAAAGGTAGCATTATGAAACCAAATTTTATATAATTAGCAATCTTTAAAATAAGGCTTAAAAACACTTGTGATGAGATTGATAAAATTGACTGTATTGAAATTAAAATTTCAATGAAATGAAAAATCAGCATAAGTTTTAAAGAACAAACTGCAACTTTGTAGAAGTTATTTGCAACATGTAAGATTTTTTAAATGATCATAAATACATTAACGTGAACTATGTGAAACCATTATGTTATGTTTTTAAAATTGTTTTTATTTTTTAAATACATGGCATGTTATGATTTTTGATATATGCAATATTATAATTTTATTTGTCCTATTTTTTTAAAGTCCTCAAATAAATTAATACTACATACAAGCGCCTATGCAAAACTAGTAAACACACGTGCACACACACACACACACACACAAATTCACAATCCAGTAGACAGGTAAATTGACATTGCCTACAGTTGGTTGGTAAAACTTAACAAAAATAACTCATTGTCTTCCTTTATCCTCTCAACAATTTCCTGTGTAAATAGGGAAACAATGTAAGCCAGGTGTGGTGGCTGTAATACCAGCAGCTCCTGAGGCTGAGGCAGGAGGATTGAGAATTCAAAGAAAACCTCAACAAAAGTGAGGCGCTAAGCAACTCAATGTGACCCTGTCTCCAAAAAAATACAAAAAAAAAAAAAAATAGGGCTGGTGATGTGGTTCAGTGCTTGAATGCGATCAGTTCAACCCCTGGTATCCCCCACCCCCAAAAGAGTGAAACAATATATGCAAATTCCAGGATTAACACAAAAGTTTGAGCATGTGTTTAATGTTAGATTTACCAACACTTTTCTAAGTGATAAAAGATATTTTTTTTTCTGCAACAAGCAGCATTCTTGCAGCAAATTCTAAATTCCCATTATAGACTACTTTAAAGAAAGAATATGCAAAGATACTTCTGGTATAAATAATGTCATCCACAAAAGACAAAAGCCCCATTGTAATTTTATTAATTGCATCTTAAGGAACAATTCCCAGCTTCTGTTTTGAACTATGGTGTATGAAATCACCCACAAATGTTCCCTGCACTAATTAACTGTACTCAAACTTGTCATATACTTTCTGAAAATATAACACAACTATATATTCTGTATGTTTTGAGATAATGTTCCCCTGCTTTTAGCTTACTGGTATTTCCTTCTAGGTCATGGAAATAAAGATTACTGGTTCATTTGGTGTATCACTGCTTAACTCCATTAGAAACCTCCTTTTGCTCTGCAAATTACTATATAATGAGGCACAGCCAGAAGAAATTTAGGAAAAAATATTGTTAAATCAGAGTGCTTTTTCTGTTTGACTCCTTACTAGTAAGGCATTATAGGCCTGTTTTTATCATAAAGCAAAAAGACATCTAATTATACGTCTGTTCTTAGGAATGACTCTTATTTTCTGGGAAATTGTAATATAGTAGTATATGGCTAAGATTAACATATTTACTTAAATTCATTTAATGAAATATGTATCTACCTATTTGAGTATTTTAGAAACAAGTAGGACACTGATGTCCAGAAATTAGACAGCAATGGTTTGAAATGTCTGCTTTAATGCACAATGATGAGGTTGCCCAATCTTCTGAGACCTGAAAATTTATTGATATCTGAAAAGAAAAAATCTCAGCTGAAATAATAATTACACAAAAAACATTATATACAGTAGCCAAAAATTTGTTTATCTGCTTTTGACAATAATACCAATATGAGATAATTAGTAGATATTTGTTTTTCATTAATCAGAATTTGAAAATAAATTAATATGTACAAATAAATTAATATGTATAATGCATGAGATGGTGATAAATAATAAACAAAAATTTGGTGTGGCTGATAGAATTTCAAAACCATATTGTTAACATGGAACCAATCGCTTCTTAGTAACCAGTTTTATGTCAAACTGCAGTTTTATACTTAAGTATTGCTCCAGGTAACCAGTTACCTCCCTGTAACTAATTCACACACACAAAAAAAAATGGAATACTTTCTCAGATGACTTCTCACTTGTTCTTACTTGTATTACTAGTATACACAAAGTTAGTTTACATGATTTTTACATGTGTGACAATCCTCCAATTGGCAGTAAATGGAGCTTTTGTTATTTCTTAGTATAAACACTCAAAAGCATAATTATCTCTGTTATTAGGTACCTGTGGGAGTCAACAAAGTACTTTGATCTGCATGCTATATTGTCATCTAGTCTATGTTTTAATATAGAGTTTCTGGAACCAATCTTCCAAATACGGTGGAATTCTATCCAGTCAACTTTGTTCAGTGCATTATAAAGCTAAATAAAGAGAATGGAGACTTGAGAAAATGTATGTCTTCCAAAAGAACACTTAAAACTTGAAGATTATTTTTATAAAATTAATATTTTGTAAGCATATGGTGCTGGTAAAACTCCATTAGTTCATTATTGGGCTCCATGCATTCAACCCATTATTGTTTGGTTATTTTAACTCATGACAAATGAAAAAGTGGGAAGTACAAATGTAAAGAGAGCTTGAGAGGTCCACTAGAGTTGGGATTGTCTTAAGGTTTGCAGGGGATTTACGAACTAGGAAAACAAGTGTTGTTTGGATAGCCATTTTGAAGTGATTAAAATTATTCTAATTTTCACTCTTTCCAGATAATTCCCTCAGCATTTTGGCAAAGCATAATGGATTCAACCGCCAGAAGCAAGAAGTGTATCTTTTACCAATCATAATCAGTGACAGTGGAAATCCTCCACTGAGCAGCACCAGTACCCTGACGATCCGGGTCTGTGGCTGCAGCAATGATGGTGTTGTCCAGTCTTGTAACGTTGAAGCTTATGTCCTTCCCATTGGACTCAGTATGGGCGCCTTAATTGCCATATTAGCATGCATCATTTTGTTGCTAGGTAGGTATTTCCTTCATAGCCTCATGGTCACCATTTTTCTGGTTCATAAATGACTGTAAATGAGGACAGAAAACTCTGTCCTGGCCAGCATCAGCATTCTTTGAGGCAAGAAGTATTTCCTTTTTCCACACTGTGAGGTCACTAAGAGGAAGTCAAGAAAATGTTATGATAGTACATGTAGAATTGAAGAGAATGTTCAGTGCCTTTTTCAGACCCATCATCAGTGAATGATGAACAATGTGTAAAAACAGAATATGGTGGTGAAAGGGGGAATGAGCCTTTCTGTGTTTGTAGCCTCTATTACATAAGATCTCCAGATCTTCTGATGCAAACACACCAATTACTGTAAACAGAGTATGCGATTTGATGCCCATAATACTATTGTACATAAGCAGGGTATAAATTGGGTTACTTAGTCCATCAGATCCTAAAGTTCAATCAGATAAAATGAAAACAAAAAGAGTCGACACAATAAGTTGTCTTCAAAAAGATTGACAAAACACAAAAAGTCATATCCAATGCTGTTCTTAAAGAATAAAACACCTTAAAGATGGTGTCATTTACTATCTTCTTCACTCAGTACCTTGGATTTAAGCCTAACTTACCTCTCTGACCTATGTTTCTCCAGTAGCCCAAGTTTGATCAGGGTACCTAGTTACGTGTTCTTATCCCTTTCCTCACCATCAGGTCGATGTTTTCAGATTTAGGAGTTCCAGCTTTCATCAAGAAGCTGCCCATGTGTGTTTAACGTTTACTCTGTGAAAACAATTTTTTTTTTTAATCTAGAGGACCTTGAATAATAGTTAAAACAGAAAATAAACAAAGTTGGAGCTCACTAGTCTGTTTTTTTAATTTTAATTAAATTTTATTTTTTAACAGAAGAGAGACATGGAGCTAAAGGATTTTCAATAATTTACCCAAGAGATACACCAAGTTAGTCCTGCTGCATTTTGATTTCATACCATTAGAGCTGAAAACAGTATTAAATGTATCCTTCACCACAAGGGTCTAAAAGCCTATTTATTTAACCCAGCATCATCACCTTTAATAAACAGTAATAATCTGGAATAACACTTACTCAAAATTCAGTGGCCAATCTTCAGAAAGATGTTTAGCTAAATTTCCTAATAAAGGTGATTAAAGCCACACACTCATAAATGCCCCTGTCTCTTAACATATATGATGTACTGATTATAAAATTATATGTTCCTCCGGTTAATTATTATTTGGCATTTTTCCTACAGTCATTGTGGTGCTGTTTGTAACTCTGCGGCGACATAAAAATGAGCCATTGATTATCAAAGACGATGAAGACGTTCGAGAAAACATCATTCGCTATGACGACGAAGGAGGAGGGGAGGAGGACACAGAGGCTTTTGACATTGCAACTTTACAAAACCCAGATGGAATTAATGGATTTTTACCCCGTAAGGATATTAAACCAGATTTGCAGTTCATGCCAAGGCAAGGGCTTGCTCCAGTTCCAAATGGTGTTGATGTCGATGAATTTATAAATGTAAGGCTGCATGAGGCAGATAATGACCCTACGGCCCCACCATATGACTCCATTCAGATTTATGGCTATGAAGGCCGAGGGTCTGTGGCTGGCTCCCTCAGCTCCTTGGAGTCCACCACATCAGACTCAGACCAGAATTTTGACTACCTCAGTGACTGGGGTCCCCGCTTTAAGAGACTGGGCGAACTCTACTCTGTTGGTGAAAGTGACAAAGAAACTTGACAGTGGATTATAAAAAAAAAAAAAAAAATTCCATGGAACTGAGCATTCTGTAATATTCTAGGGTCACTCCCCTTAGATACAAACCAATGTGGCTATTGTTTTAGAAGCAAGTTTAGCACCAATCATCTATAAACTCAACCACATTTTAATGTTGAACCAAAAAAAAATAATAAAAATAAAAAGTATATGTTAGGAGGTTATAAATCTTGTGGAGTGTGAATTAAGTATGTGGAGTGTCTAGAAGTCTTTGGATATTTGATATTTACCTGACTACCACAGACAAAGATTGGGATCCTAGCTAATCTTTAGAGAAATGGTTTAAAAAGAGGAAAAAATCAAAATTAAAAGGTGCTTTCTTAGAAAAAAAAAATGGACCTGCAAGGAATCTGCTGCTGATTTGTGTCTTCTTCAAGGATTTTTATGAATGCAAATGGTTTTTTCCCCTTCACCAATAAGGATCCCGCCACAAATGATAAAGCAATACTTGGTCTGCTGTACATTATGACTTTTTGGAGTTTCGGGAGGCCTCCTAGATTATACGGTACGGTGACCACACATTGTACATAATTGTTGGCCCCACTCACCAGAGACTGAATAGCATCTTTAAATATTGTGTCGAGCCTTAAAATATTCACATGTTCGTAATCCATTCCAGGGTGGGGATTGCCAACTCAGTGGTGGGAGGAGAGAAATCCCATTCAAACAGCTTGTTTCTAGAAGCAGGATTCCTCCTTCCCTCCACCTCATCTTCTTCCACAAGGACACAAAGATAAAACTGTATCCCATAGTGGACTAATTAAGAGACAGATGGTTTTATTGCTAGCGCGTGGATTTATTTGTTTAATCCTCAAAATAAATATTTTATTGATGTCCATTAATGCTTTTATTTATTAAGGTTGGTACTCTATAGATTAAGGGACTATATGAGAAAAGAAACCTAAATTATATCCATTATTAAGACTTTAGATTGTTTTATATAAATATATATACAATGAATGTTTAATACATGTACATTTTGATGAGATAAGTATGGAAGGCAATATTATGAAAAGGAGAGCTAATAGTCTCTTTAGAGTAGGAAGTGTTATTGTGACTGGTGATGGCAGGAACAGCATTTTCCCAGAGAAACTAAACGGACTGTTTTCTATTTTGTTCATAATCCTAGTATTTGGTGTTTTTACTACAAGCACAAACATCTGAAAGTATATTGATTCCTGTGAATATTTAAACTCTAGACTTTTAGATACCTACCTAATGCCCTGTCCAATAAACATGCTTCAAGTTGCCCCTACTATTTTAGAAACAGGAACTGATTTGTACATAATTTTACTGCTTCTGTTTTTAGCACTTCTGTCCCTGATCACAGTGATCCACAGAATGTTTTAGGCTACAAAGAAAAAAAAAAGAGCAGAACTAGAAGATGTGAGCATATTTAATTTGTAATGCAAACCTGCCATTTAGGAGTAGAAAATGTATGATAAAACTCAAGTATTACATGCAGATCATTTTAATTTTCTACTTTGCTTTAATGCAACATTGTTTATTTACTCCATGTATTGTATTCAGAGAAACTCCTGTATTGTTTCCTACTTTGTGAAATATATTTTTATAAATACCTTTGTTGTCATCATTTTTTTCCAGCCAAATGAAGACCTGATATTAACAAAATTATCAACTCTAACTAATATCCTAAAGGGTTCTTCCAAATCATCCCAAGGAACACTTTTATTTATTTGAGTCTTCATTATAAAGAACTAGAGAAGAGAAATGGCTTGATAGCTTTCATATAGCAAGATATAAGCAGAAACATAAAAGGAATTTAAAATAACTAAAAGTTTGCCAATTGTACTTTTGGGTACTTCTGGAAAGGGAAGTGGTACTGGGCTGGAAGACTTCAGACAAGATGGTAGGTCTACAACTTATGAAAATGAAGGGATCAGAGAACTGGATTTGACAAGAGAGCCTTAGACTGCAACATAAATCTGGCAAAATTTCTGTCAGTGCATTCAGAGGGTTCTGGAATGAGAGACTGTCCACTAGAGCAAGATATCACAGGGTCAATGTAGTGAGGCTCTGGTCACCTGCCATCTCAATCGCTGGCTTGGGGATGCCTAAGGAAAGCATGGATCTGGCTTGCAAATTGAAGGCACCAAGTTCTAGTAACTGCCTCCTTTGTGACAGCAACAAAACACTTGAATGTTATAAAAGAATTTAGTAGCTATCCAATGGTTTAATCAAATCCTTTTTGAGACCCCTCTTTTTGTGAATGATTCATCTTATATGCTTATCCCAGAGGCTATTGAATACTCTTTCTGAGGTCAAAGTGATGATCCAAAGTGACTTTTATAATCACCAGGTTAGCACAGTGTCTAAAACAAGTATCTGATGAATATAAGTTATCAACAGCAGTTGAAGTAATAATAATCAATTTTTAACAATATTCTAACTATCTTACACATTCCAAATCAAGGTGAAATTATTTATTTTTATTTATCTCTGTTATATCAGACTCATTTCTGACTTGTTTACAGTGAAGTGCCACAGATTAAACAAATATATCTACCCAAAAATAACACTATTTTTCTTTGGGAAAATTAAACCTATGTACTCCTGTTAGGAATCAGTAGGTTATCTTCACATGGTAGTTTTGTGGGAAGGAGATAATAAATGGTATACCAGTTGTCCCAAACTTGCTTCAAAATTTATTTTACTTAGGAAGAGGGGATGGAAATATTTAGATTCCTTACTAAATTTTTACCATCACCATCTTAGCATTTTGTGCTTAAAAGCCAATTCCAAATTTTGTAACATGGGGTGAAATGAGTAATGCTGTGTTCATTATAAAGACTACACTATATGAACTATGCTTTTAGAATATCATGAATTTATATGAAGATCCAAGGAATATGCACACAACACACACACACACACACACACACAATTTAACTGAAGCCTTTACTTTAACAACAGACTTAGCAGGACTTCACCAACCAAAAGAATCAATAGGGTTTTAAGCACTACATGCTCAACTTGCTAAGTAACACATTATACAATTTTATTGAAGTGATTCTTTTTATATTTGTACATAGTCTTCTGTTCCATCAACATTTTTATATATTTTACATGTACCTACCTCTGTGGTTACTTTTCAAATAATTGTCTACAGATATTTTAATGTGTCTGTGGGTCTTTGTGTGTCACAAAGTTTAGTCTTTTCCTATCCTTTGAAACATATCTCTGCCCAAGGGTTTAATGACTAATGTAAAAGAATTGTTATCTGGAACCAAGTGAGAAAAAAATTGTCTCCCTCTGTCTGCCACAGAGTTCAAGGTTCCAGATGCATCCCTGGATGTCTGGACCCTTCTTGGGATGAAGTCAGCCTCCACTCTGTGTATTATTATTATTATTTTAATATTTATTTTTTAGTTGTAGTTGGACACAATACTTTATTTCATTTATTTATTTTCACATGGTGCTGAGGATTGAACCCAGGGCCTCACATGAGCTAGGTGAGCACTTTACTACTGAGTCACAACCCCAGCCTCTCTGTGTATTATTTGACCAAACAAACTTATAAAAAATATCTCTTAAAGGTACAGATGTATATATTACAGCGTATTAGGAAGCCATTCCCTACCATACTTTTCATGAGTGCAATTATTACAATAGTTTAAAATAGTTCATAATAATAAGATACTATAAATTAAATTAAATTCATGTGTGAACCTTGCCTCAGAGAATTGTGATTTCTAGGCTATGAATTTTACAGTAAAAATGTTTTGGAAGAAAAATATATAGGTAAGTGTATGTAAAAGAAAAAAAACTTAGATTCACTGGCATCTCTAGTGAAGCAAGAATGGTTAGAAATAGACAAATGTGTCTTTGGAAGAGTTCACTTAATCATATGCTTAAAGTAAGACAAGACTCTGCAGGAGACTTAGAAATCTCCTAGGAGCAGCCGGATTCCACACTGAGACTCAACAGAGTGCTGGGCTATGCTGTATTTTGGAGAAGGAAAAGCGGGTGCTGAGAGCTAAGTAGCCAATTACTCTTTATAGCCACATAAGGACTGGAGGCAAGTAGTCCCTTCCAACGAGTTGTGTTATGCGATCACTAGCTTTGCAGGGAATCTCACGAATGTATAACCTTCTGATTGCCTTTTTGATTGAAAGTTCCATCTGAGATCAAGGCAGTGCAACCAGTAATAAGATTTCAAAAAATCCCATCACTGGCACTGTCGGAAAGGTTGAGCATGACTGAAATCCCATCATTGTCAGTCAAAAAGATAAGGTAACAGCGGGCATCACTATAAAAGCTGTATAAATGCACAATTTAAACATGAATATCAACATTGAAAAGAATATGCATGATATCAACATTGAAAGGAATATGCATGCATGTTCATCTGTATACACACACAAATATATACACACACAATTAAGGGAGTGGTGATAATTTATATTCAGTTCATTTCACATTCTCATACACTACTAAAACCTGGAATGGGGGTTCTTTGTTTTCCTCAATCTAAGTCTGAATTTGAAAGCAATTCGACTGAGGATAAAGGGTTTTAAATGTAAGTTTTTTATTTGTGAACAAAATAATTGCTCATAATGCTTGGGATTAGAATTAATGCATTACATCCTGAACTTGGATTTAGATGTTCTGCATCATTGTATTTTTGTGGAGAAAATAATTGTAGAATATATTTTATAGGAAATACTTTCTGGCGTGTTTTTATTTTATTTTATTTATAAATTGCAATAGCTTTGTTGCTCTACAAAATTTCTTTGAAATGTTACTTAGTTGCACAGTGTTGACTATGTTTGACATTGTAGTTACTGCTCTTCATAAAAATTTTAGGAGATGATGTTGTCATTATCACTAAAGTAGATATTTATTTTTTTATGATTTTATTCTATAGTCAATACACATGTGTGGATTAAATAATATATTATCTATATTTAAGATATCCAAGCCTTACTACTATAGACACATTCCTGGTATTATAGGACCATGCAATTAACCCCTGTCCTTACTCCCTGGATAGACAATCTAAGGGATAAGAAGTTTGTCTAGTACAATTACTCAGCTTCTACCAGTGCAGGGATTAGCTGATATATAGATACGAACAAATAAATGCAATGGTTATTTCAAAACGTATTTTTCTAACTTATAAAAGAAGCTAATCAATCACATCTAAACTAATTGTTGAAATATTCCTTGCCTATAATTAAATAGTCGTCACATTTGGAGTTAAACTTAGGTTGATCTGACATTAGAGTCCCTTAACTCTCCACTAAACAATACTATCTGTGATTATAATGTGAGGCTTAAAATGATAAGAAATAGAAAGCACATTATAGTTTGTGCTGTGGAAGTACTGAGCAGTAATTAAGTGACTCCAAATGGCAAGACTTAATGAAGGTTTCACAGAGATTTTTTTTTTTAAGATAGCAAATGAATAAGCACAAAGAAACCACAGCTTTTCCAAAAACTAAGGGTAATTGTAAGAAGTGCCACATGTAAGGACTAAAGACAGATGTTTGGACACTCGGAAAGATAGAGAAATTGATGTTCATAGAATGCTCTCTCGTAAGGCCTAAATCGTGGTTTCTTTTGTGGATGAGATATGAGGCTCAGAGACTTCTTAAGGAATGTTCTACAATTTAGCTACACATCTAATAAGTGAGAGGTGGGAGTTGGAGTATAGCTTCTGAGTCATTTCCAGGATGGTGAAGTTGTGTTTTGATATGCACTGCCTCTCCTTTACTCATGGAAATTTCCTCTAGACCAAAGCAGGAGACATTTGCAGGAGGTATTGGTGCCTGAGGGCACTCTCCTTCCAACTTGTGTTACCTGTCACTATCTGGTTCACACACCTTGAATGCAAGTGTTATCTCTAACAGATATCTCTACTAATAGATAATAGATATCTCTATTATTATTCACAGATTACAGAAGAGGGTTACTAGGAGGAATAACACAGGATGTTGCTGAAGACAAAGACTGCGGAAACAGTGACATCAATGAACTCAGAGGCCAGAACTACAAAAGGAAATGAGAAGTCACAAAAGGCAAATTTTAATTCCTTCAGATTTCTTCTGTATGTGCCAGGGTATGGAGGGCCATTCTGACTCCACATAAACATGAGGAAGATTTTAACAACTATCGTCTAAGATTAAACATGCAATTTACAAATCATTGATTGAGATGACTTCTCCTTTCTAATGGATGCTTTCCTTTGGCTTTGACTTTCTTTGATGGTTTTCTATAATTCAACCTCTAGATTTGGAGAGCTATTACCTATTTGTCAAGTTTGTAGAATATAGAAGTGGATGATATAGGCTCAATGTTGGGGCTATAAATAACAGTATTGCAAATAAACTTTAAAAAGTACCCCCTACCAAAACATGTATTTTCTGCAACGTATGTTTGAGATACTGTGCTTGTGACAGGTGAAAGGTATACTCACCATTCTTCTCTTGCTTCTCAAAGACATGGGTAATAATTGGATAAATTATAGAGTTAAGTAAAGGACAAACCATTAGACTTGGCTGTACTATAAAAGTGGGGAGCAGACAGTGATTTGAAATCACAGAGAAAAAAATGTCAAAGCTTACTAAGGCACAATACCATGCTAAGGCATTGCTGAAAGAGTCTTGGAGAGAGCAGACTGTCAGAACATGAAGACTAGAGGGTAAGGTCAGGCTAGATTCCAGATATCTAAAAATGAATAGAGATGCCAAAGTGGGAAATTTCTCAATGAAATTCAATGTCAATATCTAAAATGCTCCATGTAACAAAACTCCCCAATGCTTATTTGTTTAACAACTGTGTACTGAGGATATTACACTAATCTATATGTTGAGAATAAAGCAGTGAATAGGATAGGAAAGGCTATCTCCCTTCAAAGCTTTGGTAGTATGAGAAAAATAATAGATGGGTAAATTTAAGAAAAAAATGGATATGATGGAACTTAATATATATACCTAAGAAACTAAATGTTTTGCATATCATAGAGATATTTCAGTTGCTAGTTTTTACACTAGTAGTAAACAACTGCAAAAACTATGTAAAAGTTTGTTTTAGTTGTTCTCCTGTAACTAAACCAGTGGCATACACAATAAATGAGAATGAGGTCTATTCTGTAGTGGATGAGGGAGAAAGCACACAATAAGACGCGGAGAGCTGAGCAGAGAGTGTATTATACAGGTCGTGGTCGACCAGGATTAGAAGCTCAGATTCACTTTATGCGAAAGAGGAAGCAATTGAAAGGGACTAAAATTGAGGAAATGACATGGTCTGACTTGTAGTTTTGAAATGATCATTCTCATTCTTGTATGGAAATAATATTGTCGGACCCCAGAATTAAAGCAGAGGCCCAGAGAGAAGGTTGTTTCTTTAGCCCAAGGAAGAAATTATCTTTCCTTTCACTCTTTCAGTGGTAATAGAGATGGAAGAAATAGAATCCTGATATATATCAGATATAAAATTGGAATCAATGGAGGATGCATTCAATAAGCTGAAAGAAGGAAAGATGAAATTTAAACATGACTCCTAGAGGTTTTTACTTGAACAACTATGTGATTAATAGATCCATTTGCAAAGATTGTGAAGACAGACTGAATTTGGATACCAAAAGCTTGCATCTGACTTCTCTAATGATCCACAGTAGAAAAAAGATAGCAGAAACCATAGTCCTGTAGAAACTCCTACATGGAGTATGTAAAAGACTGTGTTAGGGTTTCCCAGAGAAGCAGAACCAAATGTATGTACAATGTGTGTATGTCTGTGTGTGTGTGTGCGCATGCCTGTGTATTTAGGTGTGTGTGTGTATGTATAAAATAGATATCCTATTTTAGATATATGCATATATGAGAATATACTCTTACATGTGTATCCCAT